AATATTATATATATACATAATGACTTCAGATTTCTTCACATTTGCAGAAGTGTGAATTAGCTGTCCTATTACCTATCAATTTAAATGAATTGGCAAGAGATTATCACTGAGCGACCCCTGTCCTTCTCCCTTTCAAAAGGTTCAGTGGACTCATATCTCCAGATATGAGTTGTGTTAACATAGCATTATTGAATGGATTGTATGGACTGGATTGAACGGATTGATTCCATCTGTACTCCTCAACAGCTGGAATATACATTAAGAAATACCTAGTTACATAACAACCTACTTCCCTATAGACCTTTTTTCCCGTCTGAGTGCATGAAACTTATTCACACCATTGAAAATCAACTCTAGCCACATGGTAAATTCAGTCACAGTGCCGGAAATAAATTAAGACCTAAACTGAAACCAAAACCTGATTCAAATATGTTTATTCCCCGCAAAGTGGAATGGAGCCTGAGCTACTATTTGAACATTTTTGCTGAAGTGGAACTGTTACTATGCAGTGAGCAAGCCCCAGTGCCCATACTTTTGAAGAGAACATCTGGAGTCCATAGCCCAAATCTATAGTGGGTTATATGTATTCATCATAACTGTAAACAGTATAAGTTGTGCTAGAAGGGATTTCCTGATGAGTAACAAGACAAGCACTAATGTATTAGGATGCCCAGTAAGTATTTAAGATCAGTTTCTCAGTGATTTCAACAGGATATGCATGAAGGCACACAACATGAGAATTGTATTATCATGAAGGAATGTGAAGCAATATTTCTTGTTTCCTGATCTAGTTATATAGTGCCTTGACTGTTTTCCTATATTATTTTTATTTTGGATTAATTAAAATAATGAGGATGGTAGGAAATTTCTAAGTATGGCGCTGATGAGAACATAAAAACAGTGAGATCCTACTTCGCAGCCTCTTAACCTCCAAATCAAGGCTGTGTGAGAGAGATTGACAATAGAAGCCCAAGCCCAGAAAATTTTAAATAGATTAGCCATCTTCACTTTGCAGAAATGATGTCTACCATGTGGCAGTGTGAAACAGAACAGTTTTTGAGCATAGTTCAGGGTCACATTACAAATATTCAGCATCACAAATTATGCAACAGAAAACAGAAATGGTGCCCTCATCTTACTTTCTTGAGCCAAATACTGAGGATGTAAAAACAGGATACCACAGTGATAGCATAAGAAAAGATTTTTTAAAACTTGAAAGATCTGTAGTGAAATATAAATGCCATTGCTTTCTGCTGATTTCAAGGAGCTGTTTAAGATCTAGGTCTTGGGGATCTTGAGAGGAAAACAGATTAAGAATCATAGGATTTTCAGGACTTGGAAAACCTTGCAACCATAAGAGATGATGGTCAAAAATACAGGCACTTCCAACAATTTTGCACACACAGATAGTAGTTGCATGCAGGGGTGAGTGAGTATTGGGAAAACGTGCCTCGGTGAGCTTTGATCTGACGGCTTCCCACTTTTTCCTATTCTCTGAGATGGTTGTGAGGAAACCAGAAACTTCTGACTCCCTTTAGAATAAACACTGGTGAGCATTTCATCTGAACTCTAAACTGCTGTTAACCATAACTATGGTTATTTGAAACAAGACAGCTTCATAAAACGTGATTTTGGATTTGACTGGCTGTTAACCATATTTTTTTTTCTAATACAGAGAGCTGGAATTAATCTAGAAAGAAGCAAAAGCTTCCATATGCCTTGTGTCTCCACAAAAAAAGGTCTATGTGTGATCCCAAAGCCTTTTGCAGCTCATAATGCATGGCTCATTACATCCAAACCAGCCCAAAGTCTCCTGTTGATTTCTTAAAGTGGCCTTAACATCCTATTGCAGGATTAACACTTATGATGGAAAGTCACCCATTAGCTAGAGGATGATCTAAGAAACACAGCAAAAGTAAAATTTAAACATCTATGTAGAAATAGAGCAAGCTGGCACTAGCTTACTCTGTCTCCTAATCTGCCCAATTATCCCAGGTATAAACCATAACAGACGGTGCTTAAGAAGTCGTAATCACACAGTGCAGAAAGAAGAGAGCCATGTGGTTGCTTTTTTGTTTTGCTTAATTGATATAATTAGCAGCTTCGTGGTGCCAAGGGAGCAAAGTTTCCTTCCATCTCTTCCTCAGGAAAAGTTGCATTTTGGAGTCATCATATTTAAGGAATGAACTCGCTTGAATGTTTTTAGGACAATCTAACTTTACTTCAGTAAGCAAGCACAAACTCCAGGCAGATTCTAGTTCTGGGGGAAAGGTTACCATTTGTTTAAATTTGCCAGTGTTTTTGTTTTCCCTCCCCATTTCCCTTTGTGGTGACATCTCCATGGTAACATTTCAGGATGAATTTCCTTTATAAGAACATACAATTCTGGTGTGTGTTTTGTAATAATTCTTTATTTACGAATACACAGCCTGAGCAGGTAGCAGTCCAATAGGCACGTTACAAGCAAGGCATCATAGCCAAAACAATGTTCCTTCCAAATCAACAGCAGTAGCTCTAATAAAGTCATAACTATAAAGATGAAATGCTATACTTGTGTTAAACATGGCCATCATAAACAGGATACTGGTCTGCAGGGACGATGGGCAAATTAGTAAGACCTTTAGAGTCCTTGATTATAAGTTTCATAGGCCAATAAACGACTTCATTCACACAAGACTTCCAGGACTTGGGGTGAAACCAGATATTGGCTGAAATCCTATTGCCCAGTTATGCAAGAGATGTAGTTGTAGTTAAGCAGCAAATTGCCATAAGTTAAGTAACCTGCACAGGCATTAGGTGTTACATACTGAGTTGCACTGTGGCGTTCAGCTCTGCTCTCACCTGTCCGTCACAGCTGGGCAGGGGAACCTCAGCCAATGAGAGGATGGAGGGTGGTGCAGAAGTGGGAGGAGCTGGGTTATATAAGGTGTGTGTGATGTGTGAGAGGAGATCAGATCAGTTTGGAAGATGAGTGATTAGAGAGATTGATAGAGAGTGAGAAAGAGCCTGTTAGTGAGGGAAAAATCTGTGTGAGCTAGTGTCTGTGAAACAGTGATTGACTAATTGATTTAATACCAGTGATTTACCGTTTTATTTTTGTGTAATCAATAAACATTTTTATTTGTTTGAAAGAAACACTTGTCCTTTTTGATTTTAAGGATAGGTTGGTAGCAGCAGGGTTTTGTTTTTTGTTTTGGTTTTTTTTTGGTGAGAGGTAGTGACCACTCTTGGAGGGCTGGATGGGTATAGGCTTGAGAGTGGCCTGCTACATGCACCATACAGCCAATGCAGATTTCTTAACTTATGACAATTTACTGCCAAAGATTATGGTTTGTTTTTTTCATAATTGTGCAAGAGAATTTTGGCCAAATTGTTTAGCATGTGTTTTAGAAGAAGTGCTCTCCCCCCCCCAAAAAAAGAGTGTTGGGAGTTTGTTATAGGACTTTATTTTCCTCATGAATCTATCTTGAATTTAGCATGCTTGGTTTTGTGATTAGTCATTGGCATGTAAAAACAGACTTAACTTGCATGTTTGAGGCTGAGACGAAGAGTCTTTGTGGAAGTTCCATTGAGAGAGAAAAAAGGTTAGTAAGAGATAATATGTATTGCCTTAAACGTCTAGTTTGACCCTAAGATATGTGTGAGAAATGACAGAAAGCAAAATACACAACATAATTTACAGCAAACTGACATGCTTGGAAGTAAATGTGCTGCACTGACTTTCTTTAGCACACTTTTTCTTTCCTACCCTTAGTACTGAAACTGTTAGCCCCATTGCAAGTTGTTATTAAATGCCTGTCTGCATAGATAAGTTTTCCAGCAAAGACTTGTTACACCTTGTCTTTGCTGCACCTCATGGAAGCAAGGGTGGAGCAAACTGTGCAGCAGCCAGACCGTATGTCCATCCCAAAATGCTGTTGAGGAATGGTAGAAGAAAGAAAACTACACAATAGTAAAGCCCACATCTGCATAGCATGTTGTTGAGGTAGTAACTTTGGCAACAATGACTTTTGGGATAGTGCATCATTATTTTCCCAACCATAGTTGAGAGCTTTGATACAGAATAATGAGAAACTCTGTTCTGGCTATTGGTGTCAATGAACAAAGACGATGGACAATAGACTAATGGTTTGCAACCTGTGGTCCTCAGATCTTGTTGAACTCCTAGTTTCTTATGATGCTCCCTGTCCCGGGAACCTCACAGATTTTCTAGGATTTCTTAGGTTTAAAATACTCTGAAATGGTTTAGCAGTCCCTTATTCTGAGGGTGTTCTAGGACTGTGCAGCTTGCTTGAGGATGCATATGCTGGCTCTTCTTCCAGGAGGCACAGTGAGGAATCCACCACCACCACAGTCCTAGCATCATAGCCAGGTACTTCAACTCACTGAGTTATATAGACAGCTAGGATGGTATTTCAGCTTAAGTGCCTTTTCCATCATTAACTCTGTGTTGGTACACATGATTGATTGATTGATTGACTGACTGACTGACTGACTGATACTGTACATACATACATGCATACATACATACATACATACATACATACATACATACATACATACTGGAAGTGGGCAGCTGTCAGAATGAGATGTTGTTGCACTGCAACTCTTTAATCAGTTGCAGCCAGTATAAGCAGTGATAACATTGTGGCTGTATTGTCTGGCAGCTGGAGCCAGTACCTGGGATCACCCAAATAGTCATGCGGTATGATTTCATTAGGTTACCACGACCGATGCAGGAGACAGAAAAATGTCCTGGGAGCAACTTTCAATATAAGACACAGTGCCTTCTTCCGCTTCCTGTCGTATCAAAGCAGGAGATGCAAGCATTCCTTCAAAAGAAAGATGCCATCCATCAGTCCTGCCTCCTGAGTTTCTATGGTGACTTGCCTGCTTTTAAAAAAATCATGAAGTGGAAATAAACAGAACAATTTCTACACAGTGGACAAAAAGCCATGCTGATTTGGGTCTGATTTGCTATCTCTTTTCCTCTTCTTTAGGCGCCTTGATGCCAATTTGATCTCTGTGGTACCGGATAAGAGTTTTGAGGGGCTACCCTCCTTACGTCACCTTTGGCTGGATGATAATGCCCTGACAGAGATCCCGGTCAAAGCACTCAATAACCTACCAGCTCTACAGGCCATGACTCTGGCACTCAACCAGATCTGGCACATTCCTGACTATGCATTTGAGAACCTCACCAGCCTTGTGGTTCTGTAAGTGATTCACATTCATTTTTACTTTACCGTTTCTATGGTCTGATATCTTTTCATCATAATGTACTATAGGACATAATGCACTAGTTTCATCACAAGTATTATTTGGACAGCAGGAGATGGTAGCTGTTAGATCATGTCTTTCTGGGCAGTGCCTCACAAAATAATCTCCTGAGTCCAAGAGTAGCCTGTCAAGTACTTAAAGGAATGGTTTTAGAAGTTTTAGGCTGCAATCCTGTATTCATTTACCAGCTAAGGAGGCCCATTAAGTTCCATGAGATATTGTCCTGAGTAGACGTGCACATAGAATTGTGCTATTAGGCTGCACTTCTCTGCTCACTTACTTGTAAGTCCCATTGCAGAGCTTACTTTAGGGTGCTCACATAGAGAACCAAACTATTAGACTCTGCTTTGTATTGTGAAGTCTCTCTCTCTTTCTCTCTCTCTCTCTCTCTCTCTCTCTCTCTCTCTCTCGTTCTCCACCATGCCCCCCAGATAGGCTGGCAGGCAGGCAGGGAAACCTCTACCATATACAGAACAAATGAAATAAATTGTACTGCTTCCGGTAACTTCTCGTTCCCATACGGGCCATATTTGCTTTATAAGCAAGTCAGAAAAAGTAAACACTGTCCAGTCAGTAATGGCTGACTGTTACTTTTGTGAGGGGGCGGGGAAGCTTAGCAAGTGACAGGTGCTGCATTAACCAGCAGATTATTCATGCATTCATATACTAAAATAGAGGGTTATGCTTGTAAATTAATTAGCAAACATTGTTTAATATTCATAAGAAATTTACATATTATTACCAATTACCTTAGAACTATTGTCATCGTTATAGGATATGGGGTCGGAACAGCTACTTTCACTTAGGAAATACATGCTGTATGCAAGGAAAACATAATAGGAAAAGTAATGCTAAGGAAAAACAAAGCAGGTATGTTGTGCAAAGACACAAGACTTAGAGAAGTCTAGTGAGGAAAAGAGCCTTTTCTAAACCTTTTCTGCATCAACCTCAACTTCAGCTGGACTGTTTGAGAGAAAGGCCTAGAAAAGACAGGGGCAAGAGAAATTAGAGAATCAGTTTATTTTCACAGGCTCTTGCAAACCCATTTTACAAGAAGCGACAACCATCCATGCTATTATTATTATTACTACTACTAGAAACAAAAGCATTATATAATGAATACTTCAGTTGTTTTCGAATACAGTGGACCCTCTACTTATGGAATTAATCCATATTGGAACGGTGGCTGCAGGTCGAAAAGTCTGTAGGTCGAGTCTCCACAGCTGGACTGTTTGAGAGAAAGGCCTAGAAAAGACAGGGGCAAGAGAAATCAGTTTATTTTCACAGGCTCTTGCAAACCCATTTTACAAATCTTCTTGGCATGCTTAGAAGAAGCGACAACCATCCATGCTATTATTATTACTACTACTACTAGAAACAAAAGCATTGTATAATTAATACCTTCAGTTGTTTTTGAATATACATACCTGGCTTATAAATATTAAGTTCTCCGGCTGCAAGTCGAACCTAAATTTTGCGGCCAGAGAAGTCTGTAAATCGAAAAGTCTGTAAGTCGAGCGGTCTGTAAGTCGAGGGTCCACTGTATACATACCTGGCTTATAAATATTAAACCTATATTTCAGGGTTTTGGGTAAGGATCTTCCCCTGCTGCCTAAGATATTTATTGTCAGGGACAGAATATGGACATAAAGCCCATATTTACAGTATATCACAGAAGTGAGTAGACCCCCCTCACATTTCATAAATATTTTAGTATATCTTTTCATGTGACAACATTGAAGAAATGACATTTGGCTACAATGTAAAGCAGGGAGGATACAGCTTATATAACAGTGTAAATGTCCCCTCAAAATAATGCAACATACAGCCAGTAATGTCTAAACCACTGGCAACAAAAGCCAGTACACCCCTAAATGACAATGTCCAAATTGGGCCCAAGTAGCCGTTTTCCCTCTCTGGTGTCATGATACCTGTTAGTGTCACAAGTCTCAGGTGTGAAGGGGGAGCAGGCGTTATTGCTCTCACTCTCTCAGACTGGTCATTGGAAGTTCCACATGGCACTTCATGGTAATGAACTATCTGAGGATCTGAAAAAAACAAATTGCTGCTCTACATAAAGCCTAGGCTATAAAAAGATGGCCCAAACCCTGAAACTGAGCTGCAGCACGGTGGCCAAGACCATACAGTGGTATAACAGGACAGGTTCCACTCAGCGGATGACCAAAAAAGTTGAGTGCCCATGCTCAGCATCATATCTAGAGGTTGGCTTTGGGAAATAGATGTATGAGTGCTGCCAGCACTGCCAGCATTGCTGTAGAAGTTGAAGGGGTGGGGGTCAGCCTGACAGTACTCAGACCATAAGCCGCACACTGCATCAAATTGGTCTCCAGGGCTGTCGTCCCAGAAGGAAGGTGCTTCTAAAGATGATGCACAAGAAAGCCCGCATACGGTTTGCTGCAAACAAGCAGACTAAGGACATGGATTTCTGGAACTATGCTCTGTGGTCCAGTGAGACCAAGATAAACTTACTGTATTTGGTTTAGATGGTGTCAAGCATGTGTGGCGGCAACCAGGTGAGGAGTACAAAGGCAAGTGTGTAGTGCCTACAGTCAAGCATGGTGGTGGAAGTGTCATGGTCTGGGGCTGCATGAGTGCTGCCCGCACTGGGGAGCTACAGTTCATTGAGGGAACTATGAATGGCAACATGTACTGTGACATACTGAAGCAGAGCATGATCCCCTCCCTTTGGAGGCTGGGCCGCCGGGCAGTATTCCAGCATGATAACGACCCCAAACACCCCCCCCAAAACAACCACTGACTTGCTAAAGAAGCTGAGGGTAAAGGTGATAGACTGGCCAAGCATGTCTCCAGACCTAAACCCTATTGAGCATCTGTGGGGCATCCTGAAATGGAAGGTGGAGGTGCACAAGGTCTCTAACATCCACCAGCTCTATGATGTCGTCATGGAAGAGTGGAAGACTACTTCAGTGGCAACCTGTGAAGGTCTGGTGAACTCTATGCCCAAGAGGGTTACAGCAGTGCTGGAAAATAATGGTGGCCACACAAAATATTGACACTTTGTCCCTGATTTGGACATTTATATACTGTACATAAATGAAATATTCTCTTAGTAGAGTGTTGCCCTTCTCCAGTTCCACAGTCCCTGCTTCACTTACATTTTCCTATTTAGTCAAAAGAGTATTTTGTTCATTTTGTCATGGGAAGAAAAAAGTCAAATGGCACCTTTAAGAGTAATATGCCTATTTGAGCATGAGGTTCCATGGAATATAATGGTCAAATACACAAGTCTAACAGATTTATGTGCACAGTCTACATGGGAATAGAATCAAGGATTCAGAAAATGAAAATTGTATATAAATAGTGCTCATACATTTGCAAAGGGCTGGTTAGCATAATCATCACAGCATAATTAGAGGAATTAAGTAAGCACTGTAAACTGATAATTGATTCTCAAAGAAGTAGCCATGTTAGTCTGTCTCAGCTTGTTAGAAAAGCTAAAGCACTAAAAGAAAAAGTGGGAGGAGGAAGCAAAGATCAAAGAGTAGAAGCACTGAAATCAATGAGGCAAGTTAGCAACTGCTTTTCTAAGCAAGATCAAATCTGAGTCTAATCTTATGCACCATGGCAACTTCCAATATACTCCCTTGTCTATGAAAAACACTTGAAACACACATATACAGAAATGCTATATATGTAGATTACTTTCGTCTCACTGAATTATAATGGATTTCTACTGAAATGCATTATAATCTGAAAATTGTGGATGGCCTGAATTCAAAATAAATGTGCCCACTCCATTATCTATAAATTACCCAGTGTGTATGGTTGTTTCATCAAACTGTTTGAAAATTGTTACCTAAGCTTGTTTTTGTAAGGTTCAAAACATTAAAAGAAAAGGCAGATTTCATTCACCAATTGTCCATTTCCCCATTTTGGTGCTTTTGTATGCCACTGGAAAGGCAGGGAGTGCTTGCATAGTGCAGTGAGTTAGAGTGTCTGGGGCTGGGAGTTCAAGTCCCTACTGTGCCCTCAGGAAGAAAGGCCAATGAAGAGCATCCAGAAAACATGTTGCTGATGGTATCATATGCCCTGCCAGCTATGTAGCCTTGAGCAAGCTCCATGGGTCTCAGAGGACCATTAGAAGGAAGAACTGGTAAACTACTGCTAAGTGGTTTATACTTAGAAAACCTTGGGAGAGTCACCGTAAGTCAGAATTAGTCTGTCAGTCCAGAAATATTAGCAGGGATGTTGGCAAGTCTTTGGGTCCAAGCCCCAAGTCCAAGTCTTTGGTACCAAATCCTGACTCCCAAGCCGCAAGTCCAAGTCCCTATTAAAAACAAACTTCCCCGCCCCAGAAGAAAAGGAAGGGTGGGTGGGTTCCAAGCCATGAGTTGAATCTGAGTCATGGGGGGCGGAACCTGACTCAAGTCCAAGTCCAAGTCAAGTCACTGGTGTGACTTAAGTCCAACTTGATAGCAAGGTCCATGACTTGAGTCCCCATCCTTGATTATTAGAAAGGTAGGTAGTGTTTCTTTTTTCCCCCAAAGATATCCATGCTTATGATAGAGGAAGACCCCCATAGTATTACAGGCTTTTATGGTATGAGTTATGTAAACCAAAGAATGCAGAAACCAAATTCAGTTTGGGGTAAGTTTTTCAGCGAGAGCATTCCATTGATCAGCGGGGTCAAAAATAAAATGGGTGGGACCAAAAATAGCATGATTTACCTTTGTACTCCAAATGTTAAAAACAAAGCATAAGTAATAATAATAATAATAATCTTAGAACTGCAGAGATGGAAGTGACCCTATGGATCATTGAGTGAGTAAAGGCATTCCAACTTTTCATTATGGGAGGTCCATACCAAAGCTTGAAAATCAGGAATGGCATAAAGGGAGAGGGTGAATGGCCACCTACAGCACACTGATGAACAGGTTGCAACCCCAAAAAGATC